CACCTGTAGATGACGTCATGTGCGCAGGTAAAGAGCCCACCTGTAGAGCAGTCCTGCCGAACTCGTTCAGAGTATCTGGGTGGACCCGGAGCTCCTCCAGGATCCTCTGCACCTCCTCCGGGTTGCCTTTGGCCGCCGCCGCCGTCAGAGCCTTCCCCGCGTCCATCTGACTCAGGACCATGGTCGCCTCCGTTCCTGCCTGCTGGCGACACCAGAACCGAACCGGGTTACGGAGCCACAGGACGGGCTGCTCGTCAAAGAGCAGGAAGACGCTGCCGGCTACACCTAGCTAACTGCACAGCATCCGGCTAACTGACTCGACTTGTTATACCGGTCAGTCTCAAGCTGGAGCTCTTAGGGGCTCACCTGTCCGCAGGTCATGTTGGCTACAACTAAGAAGAAACCTCAGCACGGGTTTGTCTGAAAGGTCGAGCATGTATTTGTTGTGAAAGGTTCGAGCTGAAGGTTTCCAACGACTAGCATTCATGCTACAAGCTAACGCCGAGCTATTGCGCATACCTTCAGCTTGTAGAGATCCAAAAGCGCCGCCAGGTTCCACAGCCCGCTGTCTCTAAAGCCCGGTTATTCGTAAATACAATTCAAACGAGAAAAGTTTATCAACGTTTAAAAAATACATTTGCGCGCTGAGCTCCAAACAGCGGTGTCCCCCAGTCTACAATTTACAAACATTAGAGTTGGCCTACGCTGACCAATCACAACTCGCACGGAAGGCGTTGTCCTTCCATATATGGCAAAAAGGGCGGGGTTACACCGCTGTTACTATGCGTTGACTGTGGCAACATAGACAGCTGACCAATCAGAGCGCGGAGAGAAGAAAGCGGGCGATTCGTATAGTTGGCGTCTTCAAAGGGAGTTCATTGAGGTTTCATCCTGCGCTCGTGCTCCTCCGGAGGGAGGAAAAAGGCGGGTGCGCGCTTTAATTTAGGCGGAATTCAACACAGTGATGCTGCTGAACAGCAAAGCAATTAACAACGAGTAGCTCCAGGGGAATAACTTTATTTAAATAATGTGGATGTAGAATCACAACACACGCTGAAATCAATCTTCAAACAGGTTCCATAAAACTCTTAAACAGAATAATTACGTTAAAACAGGTGACGTTTTAAGAGTCATTCAGTGCAGAGAAAGTGATTGTTACGCTCTTGTGGAAGGAAGCATCTCTAAAGCCTTATGCATTGGTCCTCAGTTGGTAATCTAAAGAAAACACAGAAAGCCAAAGAAGACATGTCAGTTTGTGCTGCATCATTCAGAATCCAGACACCAACAGCAGTCCTTGTTTACCTCCACTCTGAGTGATGTAGCGCACCCAGGGCAGAGCTTGATATCCACTCTTTTCTATGATCTTCATGTACCGAACCTAAAACCAGAGGTACAACTTGTAACCACCATCAGACCATCATCTCCTACACGACTGTTCAAAGCTGAAACTGGAAGCACAAACGGCGCGCACGTAAACGATGCGTCATACGTTAAACAGTGTTCCTTGAAAGAATACAGGTGCTGGTCATAAAATTACATCATCATGAAAAAGTTGATTTATTTCAGTAATCCCATTCAAAAAGTGAAACTTGTACATTATATTCATTCATCACACACACACTGATATATTTCACGTTTATTTCTTGTTGATGATTATAACTGATAATGAAAACCCCAAATTGAGTCTCTCAGAAAATTGTGAACAGGTTCAATATTGAAGACACCTGGTGTCACACTCTAATCAGCTGATTAACTCCAAACACCTGCAAAGACCTTTAAATGGTCTCAGTCTGGTTCTGCAGCTACACAATCATGGAGAAGACTGCTGACTGGACAGTTGTCTAAAAGACGACCATTGACATCTTGCATAAGGAGGACAAGACACATGAGGTCATTGCTAAAGAGGCTGGCTGTTCATAGAGCTCTGTGTCCAAGCACATTAATAGAGAGGTGAAGGGAAGGAAAAGATTTGGTTAAAAAAAGTGTACAAGCAACAGGGATAACTGCACCTGGAGAGGATGGTGAAACAAAACCCATTCCAAAATGTGGGGGAGGTTCACAAAGAGTGGACTGTAACTGGAGCCAGTGCTTCAAGAACCACCACGCTCAGACGTATGCAAGACATGGGTTTCAGCAGTCACATTCCTTGTGTCCAGCCACTCTTGAACAAGAGACAGTGTCAGAAGTGCCTCACCTGGGACTGCTGCTGAGTGGTCCAAAGTTCTGTTCTCTGATGAAAGAACATTTTACATTTCCTTTGGAAATCCAGGTCCCAGAGTCTGGAGGAAGAGGAGAGGCACAGAATCCACGTTGCTTCAGGTCCAGTGTCAAGTTTCCTCAGTCAGTGATGGTTTGGGGCCATGTCCTCTGCTGGTGTTGGTCCACTGTGTTTTCTGAGGTCCAAGGTCAACGCAGCATCTACCAGGAAGTTTTAGAGACTTCCTGCTTCCTGCTGCTGACCAACTTTATGGAGATGCACATTTCATTTTCCAACAGGACTTGGCCCCTGCACACAGTGCCAAAGATACCAGTACCTGGTTTAAGGACCATGGTGTCCCTGTTCTTAATGTCCAGCAAACTCTCCTGACCTCAACCCCAGAGAAGATCTATGGAGTATTGTGAAGAGGAAGATGATGCACCAGAGCCAACAATTGAGAAGAGCTGAAGGCCACGATCAGAACAACCTGGACTCTCAGAACCTGAGCAGAGACACAGACTGATCCACTCCACGACACGATGCAGTGATGCAGTAATCCAGACAACAGGAGCAACAACCAAGTACTGATGCTGAACATGCTCGTACTTTTCATGTTCGTACTTTTCCTGTTTGTACTTTTCCTGTTTGTACTTTTCATGCTCGTACTTTTCATGTTCGTACTTTTCCTGTTTGTACTTTTCCTGTTTGTACTTTTCATGCTCGTACTTTTCATGCTCGTACTTTTCATGCTCGTACTTTTCATGTTCGTACTTTTTATGTTCGTACTTTTCATGTTCGTACTTTTCATGCTCGTACTTTTCATGCTCGTACTTTTCATGCTCGTACTTTTCATGTTCGTACTTTTCATGTTTGTACTTTTCATGTTCGTACTTTTCATGCTCGTACTTTTCATGTTTGTACTTTTCATGCTCGTACTTTTCATGTTTGTACTTTTCATGTTTGTACTTTTCATGCTCGTACTTTAAAGTTGGCCAACTTTTCTAAAAATACTTTTTTATTGGTCTTAATATTCTAATTTTCTGAGACACTGAATTTGGGGTTTTTCAGTTATAATCGTCAACATTAAAAGAAATAAACATTTGAAAAACATCAGTCTGTGTGTGATGAATGAATATAATGTATACGTTTCACTCTTTGAATGGAATTACTGAAATAAATCAACTTTTCATGATGATGTAATTTTCTGACCAGCACCTGTATTGTCCTGTTTGAGCTCTGACAGGTGGTGAACCTCCGTGTTTAAATTAAATCCAGTGCTCGGAGAAACGACGTTAGTTCGTACTGTTCGCACATAAACAAATGCTGGTTCTGGTCTGCGACAGAAGTCGTGCCCATAATTCACCCAGGGCAGCATGGGGGCGAGGAACAAGGTGGATAACCCTGACTGTGCACACACACCTGGATTCCTGAGACCGTGAAGTAGGGGATTTCAAATTTGACTGTAATGGGAGGTTTGCCCTCGGCCTCGTCGTTCTCCACGCTGGGTAACCCGAAGTGAGCTCTCATCAGGAACTCCTTCCCTCCCTGCAGGACCAGTCCGGCAGAGTCAGACACACAGGAGTAAAAGAGGTCTACGTTTCAAAAGCTGGACTTTGTTACCGGGAAAGACTTGATGGTCCACACCACCAGGTTCTTCTCGGGCACGTATCGGGCATGACCCGTGCTGGTTTTGAACTTGGGTGAGTCTGCGTCGCTGGGCACCGGGACTCTCACCTCCACGTTGTTGGCCACAGATTGTTTCTTAAACTGGCCCTTTGCCTAAAAACACAATAAAACCACGTCTTGTGAAAAATACTGTAAAATACAAGAGAAGTTTTATATTAAAGGGTTAGTTTAACCACGTGGGGTTATGTGGAAACATTATCTTACCTGCTGTAGATAGATTTTGACTGGCCTGAGCTCGGAGGAATAAAGAATAACTTTTCTCTGACTGATGATCTAACAGATGGTCCGAGCGGGGTCAGGACCCCGAGGATTGTTGCCATCTTGGAACAACTCCAGAGTTTTATTAACCCGTTTCATAAAGCTTCACACCACCGCCCATGTCTCAAACTGGGATTCACTCAGGATTCACTCAGGATTCACTCAGGATTCACTGTGGCTCTGCTCGAGCAGCTCAGTTCATCAACCCAGAATACTGACCCGTTTTATTAATTCCTGCATCACAACCTTTGACGGGCAGGGGAAGCGCCCGAGCAGCTGACGCCGCCAAGAAGCTTCAGCGTCACAAATGTTCACCGAGCAAATCAAATCATTACCAAGTTAAATATCATCTACAACAGGTAAGATCATAGTTACCTTTTTACAGAACTCCAGTTCCAAAGAGCTGAACTTTCCCTTTAAAGGAAGTCTTTCCCCTCATTTACGTGGGATCCGTCCTGCTAGCAGCTTGTGCAAATATTATAAAGTCGGTAAGTTTTAGAGCAGAGTACCTTGACCATGATTTCCACTCGGCTGTGAGAGAACTTCTCTATGACGGACTCGATCCAGATCAGAGGTTTCACCTGCGGCACAAAACAAACGTGTGTGAAACGTTCCACTCGAGCTGCCACGGACACCACGAGGAAGCGGCTCGTACGTGAGTATTGATGCGATAGGACATGAGCTCAGACTCTCCGTCCGGGGGAACGAAGGAGATGGTCCGGTCGCTCTCGAAGCGCGACAGTCGCACGCACTGATGGAACTTCACGTCCTCCATCACCACCGTCTTCCCTTTGTCACCTGCGCACACCCTCGCTTTACTTTTGGTTTTTAACGCACCGTCGTCGCTTCTAGCAAATGCAAAGACAATGAAGCAGACATTAAAATAAATGAGGATGCGTACGTCCAGTGAGGGCGAACAGCACCCGATCGTTGAGGCCGAGGCGCAGCTCGGGCATGCCGGACAGCATGGTCTTCAGCTTGATGCTGCCCACGATGTCGCTGCTCATCACGCTGCCGTTGGCGTTCACCTGAAACACATTTACTTTAGTTCCAGCTGCAAGTGTTGACGCAGAGGTAAATATGGCCGACACCGCGTTTCTGCACTTGTTTAACGCAGCGGTTCCTAAAAACACACTAGATGAAAAAAGACATCTCTCCTGGAACATTTTATTCTTTCAGAAACGCTAAACAGACCAGGAGAACGTCTGGACGATCAGCGTCGTTTAGTGTTTTCAGGAGGTATTTTTAATTAGATAATAAAAAGGAAACATTTGATGTTTGTATCACCACAGAACTGGCCTTGGAGACCCAGGAAGACCAGCTCATCTCCACCGTGGTCAGAGCAGGTCACAATACGACCCCAAGGACGTGACACGACCTCAACTGAGCTCCAGAAGAACCTCACCTCTTATCTGGACTATGGCTGCTGGGGGGGCTCTGGACTATGGCTGCTGGGGGGGC